GCTCTACTCTGAGTCCCTCCCGGATGACCAAGTTTCTCACCCTATCTCTAAGGGAGAGCCCAGAAACAACATGAAAAGACAAAAATAGAGCAAGAGATCATATTTTTAAAAAATGTTTTTGGAGCATCTCTGTGTGTTTCTGAGGAAAATATTTGTAAATGAAGTTAAATATTTTAAAAAGTATTACAATCATGAAACCCAAAAATTGTAGCACTCATCACTTAAATGTTCTGATTGTTGTGGTCAGTGGTGGGCACAGTTCCCCTAAAGCACTAAAGCACTAAAGGGGGACTAATTTCTTGATTAGTGCTTTAGGGCTTTTGCTAATTTTAAAATTTATTAGTGGATAAGCACTTGTTAAATTTAATTTATGGGCTAAATTTAGAAACACTAACTGAGGTCTATAAATGTTATTAATCAACTTTAATGTTAACAACTGAGGATGAAAGCTGTCACACATTTTGTTCATATGTGTGTCACATCAACTAGGTGCAATATATTGACTATATATGAACCCAAATGCAGCTGTGGAATGTCAATGAWAAGTCTTAAGAGAACAACATGGAAATATGTGACTCATGTTGTCTGTTGAAGAACGTTCATGGGTTGACTGGGTTATTTTAGTGCTTTAGAATTAGCTTTTGCTAAAACTTTCAGTTCATTAGTGCTTTAGAATTAGGGGACCTAAATATTTGAGTTAGTGTTTTAGGGCTAGTGGAACTAATTTTTAGATTAGTGCTGCCCACCACTAGTTGTGGTATATTAATGACCAAAAAATGTATGAATAAAAAATTAGAAGAAAGGTATGGTTGCTAAATTAACTTTTTATTATTTATAAGTCCTTTTTTTAAACGTCCACTTTTTTTTCTAAATGTAAGACTTGATCATTCCAGTATGTTGCTCGACCAAATACTAATATTTTCTTTTTTCTCTCTCTCAAAGTGGTTCTTGGAGGACTGAAAGACCACCTGAAGGAGATCAAACGCTGCAGACGGCTAATCATGATCGGCTGTGGCACCAGCTTCCACGCTGCAGTCGCTGTGAGTTCAGCCAATATACTGTATTATTTCCAGAAGCTAAGGCACCTTCTATACCTTACCTTCAAGAGTTGGGCAACTTAAATGGAGAGGGTCACAATTTTTTGTTGACACTACCAAAGGGCCACATAGCACTGCGCACTTACCCACATGTAATAAAACGGAAATTTAAAAAAATGTTTAGTAAGACGCCTAGAGTGCAGACAGCTGTGTGGTTGTGGTTCTGGTAAAAAGTTGCTGTTGTTTGTTACTTCCATCCACTTAGCATATTTAGCTTTGTGCYACATGTTGCAGTGACAATTTATATRYTAACCCTTCATGGCAAACAGCATCTCTGAGCAGACTTYACATTTAGGTTTGCCTTGAAATCCTATAAACAGATAGCCTACCTCCCAAAATAAACACTATTTATATATATATTTTAAACTTAAAACAGCAGTCTTAAAGCAGCTCTTAGATTCTAATAACACTGAGTAATCACAGGGAAGATGAATTTTGAAAACCGAAATTTGAATTGTGAAAAGGAATGCTGTTTTTGCTGCTTTTCAGACCAGACAGCTTCTCGAGGAGCTGACAGAACTTCCTGTCATGGTGGAGCTGGCGAGCGACTTCCTTGATCGCAACACACCTGTTTTCAGAGACGACGTGTGCTTCTTCATCAGCCAGTCAGGTAACAATACTAGCGATCCTGATTACTTGCTAGTTAGGGGGACCTTCTTTGTCACAAAGAAAACCAACCATGAAAACAACTCGACGTGTTGACCCTTTTTTATTGACTATTCAAGTTTTCAGTTATTTTAGCTGTATTTACACATGATGAAGTGACGCTCTCCCTCTCTGGACTCCTTCAGGAGAAACAGCAGACACTCTGATGGCTCTGCGTTACTGCAAAGACCGAGGCGCTCTCACCGTTGGTATCACCAACACTGTGGGCAGCTCCATCTGCAGGGAAACTGACTGTGGAGTCCACATCAACGCCGGACCAGAAATAGGAGTAGCTAGCACCAAGGTARGCTTCCCACGATCATAGATTAAAAATCATCTGATAAGAAGATGAAACTTRGATGAAGTTATAGAAACAAACCAGCGTCTCAGTGGTTATAAATATATAGTGGTGTAACTTGATGCGTTGTGCAGTGTTGCTAAACCACTTCTGGGCGCTTTTCTTTTCTTTTCTTTTCTTTTTTCTTTTTTTAACAAGTGTTTGTTCTGTCTGCGCTCCAGGCCTACACCAGTCAGTTTGTGGCCCTCATCATGTTCAGTCTGATGATGAGTGAGGACAGACTCTCCCTGCAGAAGAGAAGACTGGAGATCATCCACGGCCTCAAGGTGCTACCGGGTCAGTACGCCCTCCGTCTTTTAAATGTGGACTCAGATGATGGGGATGCTTTGTAAAACCAACATAATGTCACTTTAAAGTGTTAATCTGACCCATTCTGCCTCCYACCTTACAGAGCTGATCAAAAAAGTGCTGTCCCTGGATGAGAAGATCAAGACCATTGCTAATGAACTGTACCAACAAAGATCCCTTTTGGTTATGGGTCGAGGTTACAATTACGCCACTTGCCTTGAGGGGGCGCTGGTGAGCTAAAATCTTTAGTTTAATTATCTACAGTTGTCTATTTTATATTTCACAAAATGATAACTTTAAATAATACAYTAGTTATGATGTTATCAGCTGTATTTATAATCCATGAAAGCCTATGACAAACTCAAGGCCCATGGGCCAAATGGGACATTTATTATAGTTTTATTCAACCAATGAGTTAATTTTTAAAAATGTATTWGAACTAGTCCATCAACTTGGGATTAAAATTTCTGTTTCTTCTKATTTTTCTTAAAAACTAAGCATCCATTGTACAAACTTCTCACTTAATCAACTTTAAAATCAAGAAAATCTAGTCATCTTCAGTTGCTGATTTATATTTCTGCATTAATTATTAAACATATACTGACTATAAATTATGTTCAGTTTGTATCTTTTTTCAGTTAGTAGTGACTGAAACTGACCTTTTATAATTTAAGCTCAGTTAAACCCCCATCTTAAATCATTGCTAGCTCATCTGCTGCCTTTATTCTTAAGTAGAAAATGGTTYTTTTTACAAATGCAGAAAATTAAGGAGATCACCTACATGCACTCTGAGGGCATCCTGGCTGGAGAGCTGAAGCARGGCCCGTTGGCACTCATAGACAAACACATGCCCGTCATCATGGTCATCATGCGCGACTCCTGCTACACCAAGTGTCAGAACGCCCTGCAGCAAGTCACTGCCAGATCGGTGGGTCCTTTTTTTACCACAGAGAGACCACAGCCAAACTAACGCAACAGCATAAAATATGAGTTTTCTGACACTCTTCGTCTCTTCCTTTGYCAGGGTCGACCCATTATCCTGTGCTGCCAGGAAGATTCAGAGCTAATAAAGAATGCCTACCAGACCATTGAGCTGCCGCAGACTGTGGACTGTCTGCAGGGCATTCTCAGCGTCATCCCCCTGCAGCTGCTGTCATTCCACCTGGCTGTCCTGCGAGGATATGATGTAAGTTGTTGTTTTTATCAAAACTCTAAGAATACAAAAACACCCCATCATGCATTGGTTTCTATGAATGTATGTCAGAAACACTGGTGAGAGTTTTATTATTTTATTTTGTTTGCTGTYTCAGTTGCTTTCTGTATCAAGAAAATATTGGGTTCAAATCTCTGCTGGGGTCCTTGTGTAGAACTTCCATGTTCTCACTGCTGTAAGCCCGGGTTTTCTCTGCATCCTCCAGTTTTCACTTCTATCCAAAAGCTCACGTTACTCTAAACTGTGCTAAGGTGTGAGTTTATCACAGTGCTGGCCCTACAGACCAGTGGTTCCCAAAGCTGGAGTTGGAACTCCTCTGTGGGTCCCGAAATGTCAAGGTGGGGTCTTGAAAAGATTTTCAGAATGGATCACATTTAAAGATGACRACTAACAATTAATTTTTGTCTTAATTTTTTTATAACAGTGTGAGGTTAGTGTTCTTAAAGATATTGTTACTAAGCCTGTGTTTATTTGACCTACTAATGTTTATCACCCCGAAAATTGATATGTGCACAGTTTTCTGCTATTGTAATTTTGTTGGTCAGAAGCTGAAATGTTTGGGATAGATCTCTGAGCAGAAACAGCCAAAATAGGAACAAACATTCTTGCAGGACAAAGGTTTGAAATCCTGCCCTGACATGTGAACAAACAGAGCATTTTGCCCTTGATAAAAAACAATAATAATAATAATAAAAAATACACTGGAGAGATTTTTTTTTACGTCTTGTTAATTCACATCATTTTTACAAATATTCCTTTTTCTAACACATTTAACTGTAACAAGTTATTTCATGGTTGAAATAAAGGTCACGTAACACCATGATTGCAGGACTTAAACTCCACACCTCCAGTGCACATACTGGTTTCAAAACGTTCACTTTTTTTCTGTTGGGAATGTTCAACTCTTACACAAAAAGCATCTGTTTACCATTTTACATACTTTAATTTGGCGTGCATGTTTTCCTTGACATCAGTCTTTTGATTAGATCTTGATAAATACTGTTGCATTTGAGCAGAAATTACTACTTTTTTTGCTTTCTTCTAAAAACTTTGCAAACTAATCTGAATTGTTGAAAACTAAATTGTCATGTCAGCAAATTACATGACTTTAAAAGGCYCCTCATCAAATCAGAGTAGGGAACAAATCCACACTGCAGATACGAAGCAGATTTACAGCAGAAATATAAATCAAGCCTGAACTATMGTAATGTATGCTTTTTTWAWTTWWTTTTTTTCCATTTGCTAACGTTTCTGCAGGACCYTCAGTCTCCCCCAAGTTTTCATTGCTTGTTTTATTGTAAAGGGAAGTGCTTAGTTACCTTACAGCGAGTGACCTTTATCAGTCCGACAACTGTGGCCGAATTCTCACGATGCAGTCTACAGGACAGTAATTCATCCCAGGCACCTTTTCTGTCTTRTCTCTTTTCAGGTCGACTTTCCCAGAAACTTGGCCAAGTCTGTGACGGTGGAATAATTACAGTTTTCAAAGCCCCAGGAGAGGAGAGAGGTAGCTTAACCAGATTTACGGAGCAATTGTGCAATCAAACATTGTGTGTGTGTGTGTGTGTGTGTGTGTGTGTGTGTGTGTGTGTGAGGTTAG